AGGTGATGAACTGTATGATTTCTTCAGTTAATTAAATATTTGGTGGTATTAATAGTAATATGTTTCTGCAAGGGCAGGTATGCGCCATTCTTACAGGCATGATCTTTAAATTACAACATATGTTGGCTCACAGTATGCGTTCCAAGTAGGGTCGCTAACTAAATATAATTAATAAAAGCGAATAACAGTTCATTCGTGCGGATGTCTTGGTTTTAGTATTACACTGAGTACAGTGGTGTCGCGTCCATGTTATACACCAAATCCGACCTCGGCATAATTGTGTTAGAATTTTGGTCGTGCCAGGTATTTATGCAATACAACTTTAACTTTATATCTGTTATAAAGTAGATTCGTAGAGGGCTTGGTATGAACTATGACTTTGAGAAAGGGCGCTCCAGAAGTCAAAAGTTCCATAGCTGTGCACTCAGAGCAAGATTGTGAAAAAAGAGAAACAGAGGAGAAGCAAGGCACTTGGATCTAAACGCAAAATAACGCTCAACATTTTGTTGTGGAACAGAGAGAGATATGATAAATTACTAGATTAAATTCATACTGGCCATTGTTGCTAGAGTAAAATGTGATTAGAGCCTCTAGATGAGATAATGCAGTAATAAAGGACAATGAGTTGTGATCTTTAACAAGGTGGAAGTCTAAATTAGAATAAGAAAGGCTATTTATTGGAACGAAAATTGCAACAACAGAGCAAAGCGTTAAGAAAACTGATAAATATATCTTTTACTGTCTGAAATTTTTCTCCAGCATTTTTTCATTGGGTGTCAGCCACACAGCTTGGTATAAAAATCCGAGTATGTTATATCTTGTCTTGGTAGAATAGTTAATCCAGTACAAAATTGGAAACATGAGTCTAAATGGTGAGCATAGAAAAGCAATTTCAATATCCTTGATTGATTGACTCGCTTTCAATAATGAACATCCTGACACAAACGAAATGTTCTGCTCCACAAACATGGGTGGATTGAGGTCATGGCCCTCACCACCAATTCTTACTGGTCAGTAACTCCACTCTCCCACCTTGTCTTATAGTAATCGAGCAATCTTTCGACCTCTTTGAGTCGTTCTTGCCTACAAAGTGCATACATAAGGGTCTGCTCTTGCTCAGTACTACCAGTAATGATTAACTGTAACAGTGGACAACAAAATGAAGTTGTTATTATAAGTTACTCAACTTTTCAAGTCTGATAAATCGAGTTGATAAACACTACCTCTAGAAACGCTTGATAGATAGCTATTTACTGTTTCTATTTGGCTCCTAACCACATAGCTCTCGAAGGTAAACATATAATCACTGGGAAAATTTACATTCAACATGTAACACTCGGTGGATGTCAATAATGGTGAACACGGGAATAATTTAGTCGATATGGAATGGCTCGGCCTTGCGGGCGTGGTCACAATACGTCACTTATCCCAGGTTTCATGAAATATGTAATTTTATCTTCAGCCTAAATATGTTCTTCCGAAGTGTTAGACATTGTATTGCTGATTTTACGATATAATTAGTCAGAATAGACAATGATGTAACTTCCATGTAAAATCTTGTGGATTGGGTAGCCACATCACGACAAGTTTACAATTCTTGAATCAGCTCTACTATTACAGTGGTGCAAACAAATGTACTAAAAGCGAAGTAGACCGTGATCTCACAAATGCTCATAAAGTGAGTGCTGCTCATATGGTTATCAGAAAAAGCATAGGTTGTTGACAAGGGTAACATAACTCTCGACCCAAACAGATGTAAATTAGTAAATGCATTTAGAAGTACTGAGAAAAGAGGACCTGAAAATTTCTGTTTGTTTGACTGAACAGAACATTCCATATAACGTCATCAGTCTTCCTGATGGTAAGCAATCTTCGACGCGGCATTTATCTGTACTGCAAAGAGCATGTAGATCACCAACGTAGATGATCTATGTCAAATGATTGAGGGCCTACCCGAGTTAAGCGCGAGTGGTGTGACCAAAAGCTAACGTCGAGGTCACACCTCACAGTCAGCACCTAACGTGGATTATCTATTCGTTGTATCACGTTACCATGGATGCTTTGAAGACCGTTATTATACAAATATATTAGTTAGAGTAGGTACAAGGGAAAGCGTGATTACTACCGCATGGGCCAGTCCATAGTGTGAGATTAACTGATGTGCGTTGTTTGTCCTTGACCCTGACGGGGATCGATGAACTGTTCGATATTCAGCGACCAAACTACCAGATGATTTGGCTAGGGCTCGGTATCATTTTATTGGCCCTACAAGCATACATAGCGGTGTACCCACGCTCAAGATTATCAGGAACGACTAGCTGGAATAGTAGAAAGCTTCAAAATAAAGTTGTTATTATTCTTTACCTATCCAACTTTGTTAATCTGGTAAGTCGAGTCAATACATACCACCTCTGGGAAGCGTGTTAGATAGCTATTTGCTTCATGCTACTGAAGCAAACCATAGACATGTCCCTTTTTTCAAGTACCCATACTTCTGTGTTTGGCTGAAGCGCTGTAAAATCTCATTGAAATATTTAATATCTATACTCAGTTAATTAGGATGTGAGTTAAAAAACTTGAGCACAACTGTGACCGCACTTTGAAAACATTTTCTTTGGTAAGCTGCTTGCGTAACTTTCAAGAAAACAGATATCGAATGATACTCGTTGGTGAGCTGCACATAGGAAGCGGTCTTAAATAAAATCGTTCACTTGATGACGACTGTCGTCTCGAATGATCTACAGAAATATATACTTCTGTGCAAAGATGGTTATGCACGGTTTTAATAAAAGTGACCTTTAGCTCGCTATTTGCTGCACGGACCAAAAATCCAGAATGATAGTAGCAATATTTTGATCCGAAGGATAAATGCACTTGAAATGAAGCAAACGTAGATTACCGACCTCACCTTTTATGTCTAGGTTGTAGTGGTGCATTAAGAGGTGTTCGCTCTACGGTAGAACTTTGATCACCATTATCATCTGCGTCCTGAAGACAGGCATATGATTTCAATGCCCTGAACTTACACCTATCTGTATGAACACATAGGACAAGGAACTACTTTAGAGTTGGCTCATCGTTCTTATTAAATATTGAGATGACATAATTAGTTGACGTAACAATGTGCAAATAATTATTAATCACGGAAGTGCTATAACTCTATGTACTTCTTTCAGACAGGTATCAAAGTCTCCCCAATCGTTAAATTGTCGCGGTAGCATAGTGTCTTAGTGGCCTGATATCTTGACGCCAATTAGATCGGACGACGTTGTCGACGGGCCCACCACTTTAGTGAGTCTATATCTCACTCCAATTAGACTGTATGTTGATCGCTATCAAAATATACATATAGCCAATCCTCATATATAATCATCGACTTGAATCGTGTCAGTTAATAACGGAATGAAATGAGCCAAATACGAGAATGAATATTGAATATATATATTTCATGCACTCATTGACTTGAACAGGCAATCGGAGAGACGAAAAAGGAGGAAGTAGCTAAGCGGATTGGAGAGGGCAAGTGAGCTCACTCGATTTTATCGAGAGTTAATCAATATTTATAGCCAGATAAAAATAAGCTAGGATAAGATATGCACACATAAGCTCATGTCAAAACAGTCAGAATAAATAAACCAACAAGTGGCAAGGCCGGAATGTGGTTTAAGAAGAATGGATTGATTAGCTTGTCTGGAAGCTACAACAAACTATTTGGGTTAAACGTAGCATATGACGTTACATACTGTCTTTGAATATTCGTCCCATATCATGCGTTATTATTATGGCAACACTTTCGTTAATTGAAGGATGGAGGCTATCAGATATAGTGCAGCTAAACTCAAATCAAATATAAAATTGTCTTGATTTGACCGCTTCTGCAAAACCTTACGAGTTGTCGGGGTGACGCATCAATCGTTTTGCGACGTTTTGACCTTCATGTGCTCAGTAACCTCCACGGTGGTCGATACCGCTGAATTGTAGCCACTTTAAAACATCGGCCTATTATTTCAACTGCATTGCCTGATTGTCTTTTATTTGTATAAATACTTTTAGGCTCTATTGGTTGCCCTTTTATTCGACGTAAATGCATTTTTTATGCCTAGTGGAATATCTGCCCACACCTTCTCATATAACGAAAAGGTTTAAACAGTGCACTGGTTATTAAATGGTTGTTCGGAAAACTGCGCAACACGAATCTTGGGTTTTCCCCCAAACTTTTGGGATTTTCCAGAAATCGGGAGATTGGGGTCCTTACTCCCCAAAGATCTCTTTTAGATATAAACTTTTCCACATTATTTTTTTAGGCTCTGTGATGCAAACTTGTTAATGATTGTATGTCTTAGGAAAAGTATATTGATTTTGTTTAGCACGGAAAGTTATCAGGTCCTTGTTTTCATGCAATGGACGATACCGTTTCCAGGTTAATGTGCTACGTACATAGTCCACCATCGGGATATTGAGTGACTTTTTAAATCAGGATAATCGTAAACGCAAGATTTCCTAAGGATGCCTGGACTTTATTTTGACCTGACGTGTATCCCACTCTCGATTTTGGGGTTTTTATGCCATTTCCCCAGAATTTTCTATTACAGCTTCCCCGAATTCCCTGAAATCGGGAGGTTGGGATCATGTCCCATGATTTGACAAATCGGACTACTGTTCACCAGCAGTAAAATGTAGTTCGAAAAAGCCTAAAACTCCTCACATCTCCACTACATTTGACGGGAGGTAGGCGGAATAACACATTAAAAGCGCTTGCTCAGAAATACTCGTTGGAATATACTCATGTATTACCTCTTTGCAAACTAATTACTACTTGCAGAACTGAGCTTAAAATATAATTCTTGAGGTCCAACTGTTATTGTTAATCAATAGGAGCTTTGTTTCCGGAGGTTCATGAAAATAAAAAAAATATACACGTTATATGGAAATCAACTCTGATGTCAAATCCATCTTTGATTTAACAATATATTTTAAGATCTCCGTGTTTGTGTAAAAATATGGTAACCACAAGTTCCATAATTTACGGGCTTTATTACCTACAATAATTTGCTTTCTCTTTCATATTGCTAACCATTTCGGATAACGGGTTTATTCTCAGATCATACTTAATTCCGTTCTTAATTCTGTTAAGTGAATTAAAATGAACTGAAAAACACTGCTCAAAGTAATGCGATGCATCATACGTCCTTTCGAAGTATTACTAGCTTATGTAAGAACCACTAAATCATCAATATTGAAGTTAAGCATATGATGCTAGGTAACGATGACACGCCGGTTGATGAGGTAGCAAATTTTCATCGACTGAGGTGGTTAGATCATATATTCTGAATGCTTAGACATCGATTGACGGATTTTTATGGTGTTGGATTAGACCGAAAGGAAGCTACGGGCGGCCAAACTAATACGTTGCATTAATCCATGAAGTTCGACCAATGAACTCAACTGTGTTGACAAGTGCAGATTAACTGGTTGGGGTCCGCACAATTATCGTAACCAATGATTGTATGTTTTGTGAGCTGGTTTAGAACCGGTCTCGGTGGTGCAGATGCACTCAATCTTAGTTTCTCCTTAGATTCTAAGTGTCGAAACTTTAACCTCTTCCTCTGTGTACTTAATCTTCCTTGCTATTAATAATATTATACTACTCCTACTCAGATTTATTTTGATTATTTTATCTCTCCGTGCTGATATGGTGTAGACCTTTTCCCCAGATTCTACTTTAGATATGACTGCTGACTAACTGGATAAACCACATGCATTTTATATTTTCTTCATTTCATGTTTATTTCGTCTGATGACATTAAATTTCTTTCGACACAATGTTGTGTGTACATTATTTCTGACAATCAATAATATTTTATTATTTACAGTACTCTACCAAGTGTATACAAAAACAAGGTAAGCTAATAATTCCTTTAAGGACCTAAGAAACTTTTGCATATCATTCATTTAAAATAATGGGTTGTAGGATAAAAACCCGTTCTTTTTTCTGAGTTACAAACGCTTTAAGGAGCATGGATTGCAAATATGTAAAATTTGTGGTAGTAGTAGTCTAAACTAATCGGTTATATAGAGGTTCGTTGAGAAAAACCACCGTTCTGTTCATTTCGTTCTTGTTTATCTCTTATATCTAGTTTATCCATTACGTTTCTTATTTCGTTCAAAACGTTTTCGGTAATAAAACCTTAAAAATACGTGCACTGAAGTGTGTCTATCCAAGTTTTCACATTCTCATATCAGCGTAGCGAAAATGGAAGTCGACATGATGATAAGCTCAGGGGGAAGTAAATAGTATTAACTGTCATAAATGGCTAAACATAAAATGTAAATAATGTTGAGCTGGAATTTAGAGGAAAAGCAACAGTGAATGCAACTTGGACTAGTTTCTGCCCATTCGTGTCAATCCTTCCAACCAAAATTAAGGCTTTTGAGGTAACTCCAGCTAAGAAGCTCGCATTTACCGATATAACTCAGACTAGCAGTTGATGACTGCATGTAATAATCCCATGTATTTATCTTCCAATCCCATTCATATTTTAGACAGTATGGGGTGGCATAATAAGCAGTAATTAAGCATAGGTAACACTTCTCGTCTACAGTTGATAAAGTTGTACAGCTTCCATAATCAAACACAGATAACGTGTGCGGGTCTTGTACTTTCACAATCCATATTTCTTAGCTGTAGAGGACTACAAAACATTTCTGTTCAGCGTATTCGTCCTTTAACCTGTTCCATAAGTAACAATTCGGCAAAAGTTAATGGGGCTTGTATCCATCCTATGGTTTCGTCAGCCGCTGATCTACCAGGGCTAGTGAGACTTAAATGGCATGGTCAATACTTTTCTCCATTTCACCCCTTTTTAGTCAAACCAGGCACTGATAGAAGAGTCATGCAGTGAAGTTTTGTGGTTGGAGGGAGGGCCACCCATCCAATTCGAGCTTCGATTGTTACCCAAGATAGCTAGAATAATGTTTCATATCAACATATTCATTAAACAAAATTATGCCACCCATAAATTAGGAAGTCAAACGAAAGAATTGTTATCTTTAAATCGATACATACAAGAAGACTCAATAAAATCTGAAGGGTTGTACACTGTTTGACACATTAATTATTTTAAAACTAGCAGTGTTATATGCTCTGATCTGAATCTGAGATTGAGGACCACAACGGTGGTTAATAGTTCTAACCAGGGATGAAGCTTACCTAATGCTTGCAAACGGTTCATCTGTTCTCAGTATTTCTCTAACTGAAGATTGACACATGAAACTCCGAGTGAATTCTCTTCAGTTTAAGATCTAGTCATCTAATAGTGGATTTACAGGTACTTTGTGCACTTTATCTTCAGTTTCGGTCCTTAGGTATAGTTTCTATCCTTGGCCAACGTGCTTTCAATCCACTAAAATTACTAATACTTGATCAGTAAGTTTTACTGACCCTTAACTTCTAACATGCCTAATGTTACTGAGTATTCGGAACAGGAACTACTGTCATAGTTTTATGTTAGTGTAGACTTATGTACACTTATACACGTTTATGTTGCCTACTACATGTATTCCGCATACTTTACTATAGCGCACAAAGAAGGAATATGGTGCTGCACATGGGGTGAAAATCGGAACAGAAATAAACAGTACATTATTACAGGTTCTTTAGATAATGGCCTCATCGCTTGGGAGTGGTAAGTGCATTATTTGCTGAGGTCTTAGATGCATAAACTGTTTATAAAGCTTGTATTTTTTTGTAAGATGTTGACTGAAGATAGCCTCTAATAATATTTTTAGCTTTCCTGTATGGTTAGATATAGCATAATTCCTAAAAGCTTTGTTAAATTTTTCTCAGTGAAAACTTAATCATTTAGAAACTATAATCTTATTCGTATATTCCACCCGTCAGTTATTGACTTACTTAGATATACATCCAAAACTTACAATTCGAGTAGCAGTTTGATGGCTAAGTTGACAGTCTGAACTCCACTCTACCTACTTCGGGTTGGTCAACCAGGTAGTGATATCCTCAAGCTTCATACAAATGTTATAGCTCAAAGCCGAGTACGTAAACCTGTACTTGGTAGGTTGGTTTTATTTATTTATTTATTTCAACACATGGATATTGGTACAAGAGAGCGCCAATATATATGCGCCACACAAAACAATGAGAATTCGAAGAGAAATAAAAAAAAAACTAAGGAGCGCAAAAGAAAAAGAGAACAATAACGAAGAGATTGGTGTAAGGTAGTGTGGTAGTAACGAGGGAACGAAAGGTACAATCAGAAGAAATCTTTCAGGTAAGGAGACACAACCACTTTTTATGAAGAAAGTAAAAGAAGGTTACAGCAGGATCGCCACTGGCTTCTATTCTGAGCCATATCTGATAACGTCTCTAGCCACTGTGTAGCACCATCTCTCAGACCCCAACCAGGGAGTCGTGAAGGACCAACACAAGCCAGTCCTTTGCAGCTTTCTTTCATGCCACGACACCATGTCATGCACTGACCACCTCTCCGCTTCTTCCAACCAGTCCCAGAGTCGGCAAATAATGCACGACGTGGAATTCTCTGGGACGACATTCGGAGAACATGTCCAAGCCACCGAAGTCGGTGTTTCAAGATGGTGACACCAATTGAATTATCATCTCTGTGCCCGAACACACGATGCCGAACCTCTGCATTACTGACATGGTGTTGCCACTGAATGTCAGCAATCCTTCGGAGACAGCGATGATCGAACACAGAGAGTCGTCTAACGTCCTCAACTCGGAGAGGCCAGGTTTCACAAGCATAGAGCAAAACTGCTCTCACCGACGCGTTGTAGATCCGACCTTTTACAGCCAGACTAACATCACGAAGGCGCCAAAGGTGGCCCAGATTGGCATAAGCCGCTCTGGCTTTCACTATTCGTGCATTGATCTCATCACTCACACCCCCACCAGCACTTATGCAGCTACCCAGATACACGAACTTCTCGACTACGTCTATCTGCTCACCATCCAGGGTGAGTACAGGATTAGAATCCTGCCAGTCTTGTAGAAGTACTTTGCACTTCGAAGGTGCAAAGCACATACCATACCTACGGACACTGATTGCCAACTGATTAAGTGCGGATTGCATGCCTTGGGCATTATCGCACAGTAAGACAATATCGTCCGCATACTCAAGGTCGAGAAGTCTTTCTCCAGGCAACAGATCCACACCACCATTACTTACATTCATCAGAGCTGTTTCCAGAATGTCATCGATGGCAAAGTTGAAGAGGAATGGTGAGATTGGGCAACCCTGCCTAACCCCACTGCTCGAATGGAACAATGGAGAGAGGTGGTTGTATGCCCTCACTCTGCCTGAGGTGTTTTTATATAGGGCTTTTAGGATGTTAATAAACTTCTCAGGCACACCCTTCTTCAATAGACAATCCCAGAGAACAGTCCTGTCCAACGAATCGAAGGCAGCCCTGATGTCAAGAAACACTACGATTGTTGGCCTTTGATAAGTATGGCGGTGTTCTAACATTTGGCGGAGGGTGAAGATATGATCAATACATCCTCGACCAGAACGAAACCCAGCCTGCTCCTCGCGAGTCAATCTTTCTCGGGTTTTGAACAACCTACGAAGTATGACGGAAGCCAATAGCTTGGACGCAATCGGAAGTAGACTTATCCCCCGATAGTTGTTACAGGAACGACGTGAACCCTTTTTAAAGATAGGGACAACTATCGACTCATTCCATGACGTTGGTACACTCTCTAGTTCCCAAACCTTTGTAAACAACGTCGTCAATTCCTTAGTCAAAAAGTCACCACCATCTTTAAAAAGAGCCGGAGGTAAGTCATCTGGGCCAGGTGATTTGTAACGCTTCAAGAGTTGGAGTTCCTTGCGGACTTCCTCCTCGTTTGGTGGATCAGTCGTCACCGGCCATGGAGGGCAGGACAGTCTGACCGATGTTGCCGGAGCAGCAGGCCAGTTGAACTGCCCTTCGAAAAATTCTGCCCATCGTCCAAGACGTCGATGGATGTTAGTGATTGGCATCCCATCATCCTCGCAGATTGTTTCACTCACACCAGACTTCTTGCTGCCAGTGGCTCGGATGAGCTGGAAGAGCTTCCGGTAGTTACCAGATGCAGCTGCTGCTTCCAGCTCATTAGCACGCATCGACCACCAGGCTTCTCGGTCCTTACGCAAGCTTTGCCCAATTTCCTTACGTAACATCCTTCGTTTATGGTCAAACTCACGGTCACCCGGAGTAGACCGACGGGCTTCAATGAGTTGTAAGGAACCAGAAGAAACCCAGTGCTTAAAAGCGGGACGTTTCGCAAACCCACAACTGACTGTTCCCGCCATTTTCATGGCGTCATGCAATTGCAACCAATGCTCATCTATACTTTTCGGTGGAGTGGTAGCTAGCCTAGAGGCTAGCTCGGTTCGATACTTACTTGCAACAGAAGTTGCAACCAGCTTGCTAACATCAATCCGTTGATGGCGGTCACTTCGTTGTCCACTGAAAAGTAAGGCAAGATTGGCGCAGACCAAGGCATGGTCAGAGTCCAGATAGGTACTCCAAAAGGAGCGGCAGTCTTGTACACAACCACGCCAGCGGTAGCTGATCGCGATGTGATCAATCTGAGTCCAGGCTTGAGATGCAGAGGGAGGACGCCAGGTGGCACATCGGCGATGACTGTGCCGAAAGTTAGTGCTAGCCAGAAACAGGTTGTGGTCTGTGCAAAGTTGCAGTAGACGGTCCCCGTTATCTGACCTGCGACCAACGAGTCCCCATCGGCCACCTAAACGACTCTCTTCTGTGCCTAGACGCCCGACCTGAGCATTCAAGTCTCCGGCTAGTACTACAATATCTGTCGAACGCACTTTCTGGAGAAGAACAGATAACTGGTGGTAAAACTCATCCTTGATTGCATCCGGGCTGCAATCTGTCGGGGCATAGGCGGAGATGACGAAAAGACATCGTTTCTCACGCCGATTTCTTCTCACTTTGATGGAACTTTCTAATCTAACAGCACATAACCGACTGTTAATGGGGATCCAATCGACTAGTGCTGCCTCAGCTCTAGCGCTTAGTGCGACACCAACGCCAGCAAGACCAGACGAAGATGCCACAGGGTCCCCGGATAAGCGCACGTAAAACAAGCTTTTCGAAGCGACAGATGGAGATCGAATTTGTAGTACTTCGCCAGAGTCTTGAATACGGGTCTCGGATAGACAACAAACATCGATATTAAGACTTTCCAAAGACATAGCCAGCCCTATCTGTTGTCCGACCTGCATAAATGTGCGAACGTTGAAGGCAGCCAGTTTGAATGGTGCACGTGGTTTCAGAAAAACTGCTTCAGTCCTCGTATTCGGTGGTAACATACAATTTTCAACCGGACAGTGACTCGAGAACGTTTAGATACAGTCGAATTTCCACCAAAGACGAGCCGCTGTATAAGTATAAAAGAGGGTGAATAATGTGGAAAATAATAATAATAATAATAATGACAATAATAGTAATAATAGTATTAATAATGACAATAATTGTAATGATAATAATTTGAATCAATTGATTGTTTTTCGAAGCAAGAAAGGTAATTTCCATAGACATAAAGAGTTCATCATTTGTGTGTGGGCTGTGATACTGCCCGGGTGCCCAAACCGAAGCAGGTGGTTATCTTAGGGGGCCACACCCCGAGCCTTTGACCTAAAGGTCTAACCCACAAGGCAGTGGAGCATCGTAAGGAGATGCAGTCCCATGGTAGCCGGTGACCAACGATTGGTTCATACGCCATTTGTTCCCGCAGGATACTGGAGCCCATGTGCACCATTGGTTTGGGATCCGGTTAAAGCGCCGGACATTCGCTTTTCGTCCTCTCATTTTCGTAAACAACACCCCCGCCACGAGAAGGCAATGAGTAGGACTTCCCTGGCAGAGGCTGTATACGCGCGGCCGTGTGAGAGTATTTCGAGAGGGAGAGCGGACTCTCCCCGCTCTCGGGCGTACCAGGGCATTCGGGGGCTAGTTAGTTAGTTACTTCGTTACAAATGATAGTTCTGTTTTAGTGATCCTTGACATTCCATCTAACTTATGTAAATAGGTAGTTTTGTAATCCTAGTAACGCAGTTTCTATAAAAATCCTAACTACACTCTCGGATGTACTTTGTGTTTAATGTTGCGAATTATATTCTACATTTACATGACTCAGTACTTCATAGTTGATGTAAGCACACTCTAATTTAGAGATATGTGTACAAACTTCGTATTGTTTGTTGCGTTTATTTATCATAAGTATTCTTATAAACTTCCCTAAAAGTTCTCCATCATTTGATCGGAGCTGATTCGCTAAAATAATCCAAAATATAGACATCTTGGCTCCACTCAGATTGAGTTTGATGATCAGATCTAATATTTATATTCCAACCGTATCTTATTACAGGTCACCCTCATAAAAGATGCTGTTCTCGTAAACATCGTAAAATCACATGAAATCAAAGTGATATGAAAGTAATTTCAAAGTTGTTTAACAAGTGCTAAAGTAAATATTTTCGTGAAAGGGATCACATACTCTCCAAAATGATATAACTCAGCATTCCCATACATTCTATCAAGGATAGTACGTCTGTTTATTTATAAAAAGCTAAGTAGGACAAAGAGTTTAAATACGTATGTTCAGTATTAAAAAATGAGGACCACATATTTCACGCTTCAAAAAGATTCATTAGAAAGCAATAATTGGTTTTTACCATATATTCTATGTGCCAACCGCGTAATAAATTAAGACAATTTATCTAAGGTTAAACTACTTTACGGAGTTTTGATTTGTGTTGCTTGTTAATTTTGAATATATGGGTAAACTCTCGACCGTAATCTTTCCTGAATTTCTATTGGTAGTTGCAAGGTATCTCAACGCAAAGTACGTAAAAGTATATTCAGTTGATTGGTTAAGATAAAAGCTAATTTTACTATGATTATTTGTTAAACTCCCACACTGAAGTAGTCGAATCATAATGAACAACTCAGCAACAATACTCTGTAATTCTTCATATTTCTATTTATCCAATTATTGCTCACCTGTTTATCACCATTTCTTTGTTTTAGGATTAATAGTCAGTTAAAATGTCTTTATCAATTTGAAGGACATAGATTGGGTGTTATTTCGGTTGACATAAATTCAACAGGTACACTAGCAGCATCCAGCAGTCTTGATAGCCAGGTAATTTGTCGATGATTTCTTAATGTTTTGCCAATAATTAATATATATATATATATATATATATATATATATATATATATATATATATATATATATATATATAATGATCTAGTTACGTAATGATTATTCAATAAGAATATATGTAGTAATGGTCCATAAATAATTCCTAGCAGTTACCATTCATTTATTCTTCGTTCGGACATAACATCAGTCTCATAGATTTCACTGTCAACAGTAAAGGTGACCAAACACACATCGATAGCGCAAGATTCTTAAGTCCTAGCTAAGGAAGCCTGTTGTCCTATTTGGCACAGTGTTCGGACGTTGAAAGCTCCTACATGTAGTTTAGAGCATGGTTTCAGGAGACCAGGAATAACGTTCCGCGTACTCGAATCGTTTGCCCTAGTGGTGCAAGGTGATAAAGGGACGTGGGAAGGGTTAGTTGGGGAGATAAGAGTGGTATTAAGAGGAGTAGGAAGGATTTGAATGTGACCAACTTGGTCTCATGTGCTGTTACAGGTAGGAGGGCTGATATCACTTCCCGGCTGCCCACACCGTAGAAGGGTATTTCTCGAAGAACCTTAAAAGGAATTCGGATTAATGTCGGCTTTAAGGACCTGGGAGCGTGACCGCAGAGCCCAAGGGACAACTGCTTGAGGTCGGTTGCGCACGGCTTTTTCATGGGAGGTTTTTAATGTGTTAGCTCCGTACTTCAAAGGGCCTTACCGCCGGAGACGGAAATCCGTGAGGTAAGGAGAGGTGTGACATTTTTAGGGTCAACCTTTTCTAACCCCTTCCTTCCTTGTGAGAAGACAGCATTGCTGCAGATGCCGGTTGTCCGAGGGGAACACCTTACTGCCGTCACACCTCTCTACAGTTAGCAGTACGACTTCGCCCTCAGACCTTGAGTTGCTGCATTTAGTCTTACTGTTTTCCAGTCGACCTGCCTGGCATGGTAGAACTCAAATAGATCACATCGCTATCAGACACCGATGGAAGGGCTCGATAGAAGACTGTCGCTCATTTTGGAGCACATGATTAGATTCAGATCATGCTCTAGTGCGAGCGCGTACTTGCCTGCGTCTTACTGGACGTAGGAAAGACGCTGCAAGGAAACCTCTTAGGGCCCTACTTAATGATAGTCAAGCTAAGAGTATATTTCAGGAACAACTAGAAAAACAGTTAGACAGCCATGTATGTGATGCCCACCCCAAGGCAACATGGAATGATATCCGAAAAGCTGTGGAAACAGCAGTGATATCAGCTAGTACGATAAACCACAAGGTTAGGGAGAAACACTGGGTCTCGGCAGCATCTACCGCACTGATAGATGCTCGAAAACTCATTCCATCTGGATCTGAAAATAACGAAGAGCGGAGTCAGCTTAAGCACAAGCAGACAAGAAGCCTGCACAATGATCGCGAACAGTGGTGGGTAGCGAAAGCAATAGAAATGGAAAAGGCAGCAGCAATAGGTAATAGCAGACAATTGTTCAGACTCGTTAAGGAAACTGGTATTAGGAAACCGACTGTTAGCGAAACAATCTCAGAGAAAGATGGACATATTATACATTCTCAATCCAGGAGATTGGATCGATGGACAGAAAAGTTTGGGGATCAGTTTAACTGGCCTTCAGCCACATCTCAGTTTCCCACGACATCTAGTCAACCTGAATGGCAAGTTAATGTAGGTCCTCCGACTCTTTACGAAGTTGAAAAAGCTAGGAGAAATCTGAAGCGTGGGAGAGCAGCAGGCCCTGACAGGTTTACTCCTGAGATTTTTAAATATGGTGGTCCAGTATTAGTAGTGAGATTAACTGAAGTCTTAGGTAGAATTTGGGAACTGGACATAATCCCATCTGACTGGTCTCAATCACTGATTGTGCCAGTCTATAAGAAAGGACAAAAGTCCTCTTGTGACAGTCACAGAGGAATCAGTTTGACTAATATAGTGTCTAAAATATTAGCTTCAATAATACTTCGACGCCTAATCAAAGCTCGTGAAGAGCAGACTAGAGAAAACCAGGCTGGTTTTCGACTTGAACGTGGTTGTATAGACCAGATATTCACACTACGTCAGGTTCTAGAACACAGACACACATTCAGACGCCCCACAATAGTAGTATTTCTCGACCTTAAGGCGGCATTTGACTCTGTTGATCGTGAGGTTCTATGGCAGTGTTTGTCACTGAAAGGAGTACCAAAGAAGTACATTAACCTTGTAAAGGCTCTCTACTCGAACACAACTGGTAGAGTGAGAGCTTATGGCGAACTGTCATCAGAATCGATTACCTCAAGTGGTGTTCATCAGGGCTGTCTACTCTCTCAATTTTTGTTTAACTTTATCGTAGACGTGCTTTTAGAGATGACACTTTCCTCATTTAAATTTCCAAGGGTTGAACTTCCACCGGGAAGTTCACTTGTTGACTTGGAATATGCTGATGACATAGTTCTATTTGGTGAAGACGCTGACAAAATGCAAAGTCTTCTGACCATCCTAAGCAACAATGCAAGCATGTTCGGGATGCGATTCTCCCCCTCGAAATGCAAAATGCTACTTCAGGACTGAGTGGCATCGACACCCGAACTAATGATAGGGAGTGAAGTAGTTGAGCGTGTCGACCGCTTCACTTATCTTGGAAGTCTCATCAGCCCTTGTGGTCTGGTGTGTGACGAAATCTCAGCACGGATACAGAAGGCTCGACTAGCTTTTGCCAACTTGCGTCATTTATGGCGTAGGCGAGATATCCGTCTACCAACCAAAGGACGTGTTTACTGCGCAGCAGTTCGTTCCGTCCTACTTTATGGCAGTGAAACATGGTCGGTAAGAGTAGAGGATATTCGTAGGTTACTAGTATTCGATCATAGGTGTCTTCGAAACATTGCTCGTATATCCTGGGACCATCGAGTAAGTAATGCAGTTGTTAGGAAACGGGTACTAGGTAAGGATGGCAAATCAATTGATGAAGTAGTGAAACTTCATCAGTTGAGATGGCTGGGACATGTGTTACGTATGCCCAACCACCGACTGCCCCGACGTGCTATGTTTTATGGTGTAGGAGTAGGTTAGAAGAAAGCTAGGGGCGGCCAAACCAAAACATGGCACAAATCCATGAAGTCACTGACAAGTTGACTGAGCCATGTTGGTAGGTGTAGACTACCTGGTTGGGATCCGCGAGATGATAGCAACCGATGGTTAGAGACCTTGAATGACATGGCTCAAAATCGTTTGCAATGGCGCAGGTGCATCCACTCTTTGTGTTCTCCAAAATTCTAATCTTTTGAATTCTTCATGTCCCTTTTTTTCTCTTTCCAAACTTATTTCACTGTATTATACTCCTTGAATAACATCTTCAAACCCTAATCTTTCCGATTACTGCTTATACTCTTACCACCTCTACCACTACGGGATTTGAATGGACAACTGCATCTCTGTTGTAATGTGGTGTGGCAACTCGAACTGATGTACGTATGAAGTTCTACATTGTTACTGACTGACTGTCGTTCAGTTGCAAACAGTGCTCATCTATACTTTTCGGTAGGATTTTAGGTAGCCTTGAACCTAGCTCAGTTTGATATTTAGTTGCAACAGAAGCTGCAACGAATTTACTGACATCGATTCGTTTAAGTCGGTGAATTTGTTGGCCACTCAAAAGTAAGGTAGGATTAGCGCTAACAAGGGCATGATCGGAGTCTATATAGGTACACCTAATGGAGCGGCAGTCTTGTAATTTTGAAGGAACGTATGCTCTCTGGCGAATTCGAGCTAACCTCTGATGGGACTAAGATATTTATAATTAATTGATCACTAAATAGTACCCAGTGTCACGTATATTGAGTCCTTCCTAATGCTTACCGAGTGCTATCGATCGACGAGTGTGTGTTTACACATAGCAGATCTACGGTTTTCCGTCGACTACCTCCAACCTTCTGACATCTCAGCGTAGTACACGTGATATCAAGTCACTTAAACCAGTGGTCACAATGAAACATGAACACTAGCATTTGGTCAACGCTAAGATAAACTTAACATATGTGACATTAGTTACTACTCTATGATTAATCAGTTGTGTTTTGTTATGAATCGGAATAGGTGGACAGTATGTTGGATATTAAGATTTTTATTACCCTAGATGTGTGATCTCATTCATTATATGAAGACTATTTTGATTAGATGGGATAAAATGGCGAAAGCATATCTTTTTTTAAATTCAACGTGATAACTGCTCAGAATAATATTCGTTTCATTTTATATATTTGACTTTTAAATTGATAATCAAGCGGGTGTACAAACCGATATGTAAGTAATGGTATTTTTTGGCTAGGGTTGTCGCGTTTTGGAGTGATTAAATCTTCACCTGTATCAGTCCTTTGTGTTCTTACTTTGCTCTGTGGGAATTTTAGTGGTTCCTCGTTTTTAAGTAGTAGTGACAATGGATGTGGATATAACATTTCATCTTTAACTACCTTTTTGTTCACTCCTATTTGCTTCCCTTTACCTTTTGTTTCATTAAAATTTCCAACAGTCCTATTGTTTTCGTTTTCCTTCAAATTGGTGTTCATTTTTCTTCTCTTATTGTGTCTTGTCTATTTTATTGGCGTATCATGACCATAAAAAAGATTTTGTCGCATTATCACTAAGCAGTTATAGTTTCCATGTGTTCCAAAGCTGGGGTAATGCACTAATCACATTAAATGTTGTTTATTGATTAGACATATCGATTAAGTTCTAGCCATTTCAAATCTCTTTCGTGTGCTGTATAGGATGTTAATTTTTGTTATGTTCTATTATACATATTTCAACAGATTTTATTATGGGATCTGGAAACAGGAAAGTTAACAAAAACATATGACGGTGATCCAGCTGATACCTGGACTGTTGCTTTCTCTCCTGATTCGCGTTTCCTAGCTACTGGGAGTCATACAGGCTGTGTAAATATGATTAATGTACAAACTGCTCAGAAAGAGGGTTCTATTCAATTAGAAGGGAAATTTGTCTACAGCCTTGCTTATGTAAGCTTTCTTTTCTGTTGTGTTGTGGTTAATTATTCGAAGAATAATTTTCTATTATTACTTACAGTCTATTGTTTTTCTGAGCAAAAAGAAGTTTATTCGTTTAAATATTTATCTACTGAATCCTATTTTTGTTTCCAGTACTCCTCTTAAATGTCTCTCTCAATGGGAAAACAGCATATTCATTATGCTGCCAAAAGTATGATTGTTAAGGCAATCACGAGACAGTTAATTGTATTATATTGCAATTAATTATTTTTGTTTCGACATTGTTCAAAATTTGTAAATGTCTATCAACTAAATGTTTTCAATGCCGTTTAGTTAATTGTATGAAGTTAATTAGTTTAACCTTACCAGCAAAATACTATAAATAGTAGAACAAGCAACACCACATTTTCTTACCATTATTGTTTACCATTTTGAAACATTTGAGGTTATATTAGTCAGTCAGTCAGTCATTCAGCTACAACGTAGAACCAGGCACATATATGCATCGGTCCAAGTTACCATACCTCATTAACACAACAAGATGGACACCGGATTCATAAAAGTAGTTAATACAGAGGTGGTAATACATAAAAGAAAGATTGCAATAAGGATATACTACTGGAAGAAAGATTTAGTACGTAGATAGGAAGATATAAAGTAATTTTAGTCTCATAGTTTGAGGGAAAACATAGAGTGTCTACACCGACGCCATTGTGATCGATTCTGAGCCATTTCACCAAGAGTCTCCAACCATTGGTTACGAAAGTCACGCGGACCCCAACCAAGTAGTCTGCATCTACCAACATGGATCAGACTAGAAGTTAGTGACTTCAAGCACTGATGCCACGTTTTGGTTTGGCCGCCCCTAACTTTCTTCCAACCGTCCCTAACACCGGTTAACATTGCACGTTGTAGTAATCGGTGTTCGGGCATACGTAACACGTAGCCCAACCATCTCAGTCGATGAAAATTCGCAACCTCATCAACTGATTTACCATCATTCCCTAATACCCTGCGTCTAACCTCACTATTACTTACCCGGTGATCCCAGCAGACGCCAGCAATATTTCTAAGACATCTGTGGTCAAATACTAGTAGCTTACGGGTGTCTTCTACTCTTAATGGCCATGTTTCGCCGCCGTAAATTAAAATAGAACGGATTGCCGCGCAGTATACTCGTCCTTTTATTGATAGACGGATATCTAGCCTTCGCAATTTGTGAGGTAATTTGGCAAAAGCCAAGCGAGCTTTTCGAATCCGTGCTAGGATTTCGTCAGACACCAACCCTTTAGGCTGATCAGACTTCCAAGATAAGTGAAGTTGTCGACGCGTTCGACTACTTCACTCTCTATCCTTAGTTCAGGTGTTGACACAGATCAGTCCTGAAGCAAAAACTTGCATTTCGAGGGAGAGAAGCGCATCCCGAACATTCTGGCATTGTTGCTTAGTGCTACCAGAAGACTCTGCATTTTACCAACGTCTTCACCAAACAGGACTATATCATCTGCGTATTCTAAGTCGATAAGTGGACCTCCTGGAAGGAGGTCAATACCCGAGAATTCAGTAGACGATAATGTTATTTCCCTAAATAAGTCTATGATGAAGTTAAACAAAAATGGAGAAAGTGGACAGCCTTGACGGACACCACTTGAGGTTGCAAAAGCAGATGACAGTTTGCCATAAGCTCTGACTCGACTGGTAGTGTTCAAGTAAAGAGCCTTCACAAGGTTTATGTACTTCTGAGGTATGCCTTTCAATGATGGACACTGCCACAGAATCTCGCGGTCTACCGAGTCAAATGCTGCTTTCAAGTCAAGAAAGACCACCATTGTCGGACGCCGGTAAGTATGCCTATGTTCTAGAACCTGACGAATGGTGAATATGTGGTCGATGCAGCCACGACCAGGTTTGAAGCCAGTTTGATTCTCTCGTGTTTTCAGTTCACGAGTCTTAGTTAAGCGTCTGATAATTATCGAGGCTAGTATTTTAGATACTATATTAGTTAAACTAATCCCTCTATGGTTGTCACAGGATGTGATTTTAACCCTCTCTTATATATTGGGACGATAAGTGATTGTGACCAGTCAGATGGAATAACGTCTAACTCCCAGATCTTAGCTAAAATATTAGTCAACCTAATCGCTAAAATTGGACCACCATCCTTAAAGACCTCTGGAGCCAATCCATCTGGACCAACTGCCCTTCCTCGTTTCAGATTAGCTATAGCCTTTCGAACTTCTGCTAGAGTTGGGGGACCTACTTCAATGTTCCATTCACTTTGTCTGGGAATGGAGGGTAGTTATATAGTAGTTGGAGGCCAGCTGAACTGTTGTCTGAAATGTTCCGTCCATCGTTCTAAACATCTGGACTGCGAGCAGATGAGGGTGTCGTCCTTTTCCGAAATAGTCTGACTTACACTTGACTTATTAATTCCAGTTTCTTTTATTAGCCTGTAGAGCTGTCTTGTGTTCCCTATAACCGCCGCCTTTTCCATCTCTTTTGCTTTCGTTGCCCACCACTTCTCACGGTCGTTCCTTAGACTTTTGCCTAACGTAGATCTGATTTGTTTTCGCCCTTCATCGTGTTCAGAGCCTGATGGGATGAGTTTACGAAAATCCATCAGTGCAATAGACCTAGAGGAAATCCATTGGTTCCTTGTAACCCTGTGGTTTAAATCGCTGATAGATATCACTGCTGTCTCCACAGCTGTTTGTATAGCTTTCCAAGCAACATCTGGGTCAACCTCATTTTCAGAACTACCTAAGTGTCACCTCAGTTGTTCCTGGAACCTACTTTTGGTTTTCTTGCTACTCAATTCAGTCCTAATGGGTCTTTTTACTGTGGCTTTTTTGCGTCCAGTGAGGCGCAAGCAGAGGCGTGCCCGTATTAGGGCGTGGTCGGAGTCCAAGAAGGTACTCCAGGATGGGCGACAATCTTCTACCGACCCTCTCCAACGATGACTGATGGCAATATGGTCTATTTGAGTCCATCGTTGGTTTGGTGTAGAGGGGGTCGCCATGTTAGACGATGCCTCTCCTTATGCTTAAAATTTGTTTGCTAAAAATAAACGATTGTCTGAGCACAGTTGCAGCAGACGATCACCATTATCTGTTCGTTGTGCTTATATTAGTTGTTACAACGTTTGTCATTTGTACTCATATGTGTAAGTTTCATCAACCTGCTGTGATATTTTTTCTCAGTTGGATTAAGTACTTGACGTCACTGTATAAATATTCAAATTATCAAATTTATCAATAAAGCATTAAAACAAATACTATTTTACGAAATTACTTCATATTGAGGATCATATTTAGTTTTTTAAGGGGTTCCTATATGTATTTGTGTTTGATTGCAATATGATATAGGAGATTTTAAGCTAAATTTTTTTTATCTCAGGTTTAGCCATACTATCGGTTACATCAAATCAAATGTACTTGGTGAATATTTTAAACCTACCATCGTATTTTGTAAGAAAGTTTATACCACTAATTCATAGCTTTATTTTCCCTTTAAAATTTAAGTCACTTTCCTTCATGGTTTGAGTAAATTTCAGGTATTTAAACGTGTTAAAGTTAACTTCTTCCGGCGACTTACATTATGTTGTATTCCACACCTCAAATATTATTTCAGTGACTACACTTGAGATTTGTGCTTTAGAACAAAAAGAAATGGTCTTTTTCGTCATATCTGCAGAACATTTGAGATGAACGGTCAGCTTTATTGTAGATTTTAATTATATAAATCTTTTCAACTACTTATTTCGTGAATTCGTAGATCTCTGACCATTTATGATTTTTTTATTGTTTACGGTCAAGCTGTTGACAATATTTCCATGATCTTTTTCACATTCTTATCATAGTTTGTTAATAGATTATCCTTTTTTAATTTATAGTGTTACATTACATATAGCATTACCAATCCCTTCTCCTTCTTTTATATCCTTATATGCGGTCATTTTTGTATATAGAATACTATCATTGACGTAACTGCTTCCATGATTTTGGTGTCCATCTTGTTGTGCTAATGGGATATAGCAAATTGGACCAATGCATATATGTTCGTGGTCCTACGTTGTAGATGACTGAGCCTTACCAATTACAGATCGATAATAATATTTCACTTCTTTTACATAAATTTCTTTATATAAACAAGATCTCTGACGGATCTAAACTAGCTGCTGGAACAATCAATGGGCTTGTCAGCATTTGTGATTTAGAAACAGGGAGTGTTCAGTTTTTGGATGGACACGCCACACCGGTACGTTCAGTTTCATTTTCACCCGATGGACGTCTATTGGCTTCTGCATCAGATGACAAACAAATTAAAGTTTTCGATGTGTAAGTTGTTCATAAAATTTTTTTTACTAGCATACTTAGTCTACTCTAAATTCCTCGTAAAATCTCTTCCATTTTCATTTGATTTTTATAGTACTAGTTGAACTTCCCAGTGTACTATTTACTTTATAAGTCAACTAGCAGATAACGTGTTGTGAACTGCGAAGTTCACAATTTGCTTTCTATCATCTTGAGGTAGCAAATTTTCGTGGGCATAACTAGCCCCCAAATGCCCTGGTATGGCTGAGAGCGGGGAGGGTTCTCCCTCCCTCTCGAAATACTCTCACACGGCCACGCGTATACAGCCTCTGCCCGGGGAAGTCCTACTCATTGCCTTCTCGTGGCGAGGGTGTTGTTTACGAAAATGAGAGGACGAAAAGCGAATGTCCGGCGCTTTAACCGGATCCCAAACCAATGGTGCACATGGGCTCCAGTATCCTGCGGGAACAAATGGCGTATGAACCAATCCTTGGTCACCGGCTACCATGGGACTGCATCTCCTTACGATGCTCCACTGCCTTGTGGGTTAGACCTTTAGGTCAAAGGCTCGGGGTGTGGCCCCCTAAGATAACCACCTGCTTCGGCCTGAGCACCCGGGAAGTATCACAGCCAACACACAAATATGATGAAATGTCGATATTTATGGAAAATACGTGTCTTGCTTCGATCAACAATCAAACGATTCACATTATTATTATTGGTAGTATTATTGTTGTTGTTATTATTTTTTACGTCATTTATTCACTCTTTTATTCCCACTTTATGTATCCTTATTTTTCGACTTATACAGCGGCTCGTCTTTGGTGGAAATTCGACTCTATCTAAACGTTCTCGAGTCACTGTCCGGTTGAAAATTGTATGTTACCACCGAATACGAGGACTGAAGCAGTTTTTCTGAAACCACGTGCACCATTCAAACTGGCTGCCTTCAACGTTCGCACATTTATGCAGGTCGGACAACAGATAGGGCTGGCTATGTCTTTGGAAAGTCTTAATATTGATGTTTGTTGTCTATCCGAGACCCGTATTCAAGACTCTGGCGAAGTACTACAAATTCGATCTCCATCTGTCGCTTCGAAAAGCTTGTTTTACGTGCGCTTATCCGGGGACCCTGTGGCATCTTCGTCTGGTCTTGCTGGCGTTGGTGTCGCACTAAGCGCTAGAGCTGAGGCAGCACTAGTCGATTGGATCCCCATTAACAGTCGGTTATGTGCTGTTAGATTAGAAAGTTCCATCAAAGTGAGAAGAAATCGGCGTGAGAAACGATGTCTTTTCGTCATCTCCGCCTATGCCCCGACAGATTGCAGCCCGGATGCAATCAAGGATGAGTTTTACCACCAGTTATCTGTTCTTCTCCAGAAAGTGCGTTCGACAGATATTGTAGTACTAGCCGGAGACTTGAATGCTCAGGTCGGGCGTCTAGGCACAGAAGAGAGTCGTTTAGGTGGCCGATGGGGACTCGTTGGTCGCAGGTCAGATAACGGGGACCGTCTACTGCAACTTTGCACAGACCACAACCTGTTTCTGGCTAGCACTAACTTTCGGCACAGTCATCGCCGATGTGCCACCTGGCGTCCTCCCTCTGCATCTCAAGCCTGGACTCAGATTGATCACATCGCGATCAGCTACCGCTGGCGTGGTTGTGTACAAGACTGCCGCTCCTTTTGGAGTACCTATCTGGACTCTGACCATGCCTTGGTCTGCGCCAATCTTGCCTTACTTTTCAGTGGACAACGAAGTGACCGCCATCAACGGATTGATGTTAGCAAGCTGGTTGCAACTTCTGTTGCAAGTAAGTATCGAACCGAGCTAGCCTCTAGGCTAGCTACCACTCCACCGAAAAGTATAGATGAGCATTGGTTGCAATTGCATGACGCCATGAAAATGGCGGGAACAGTCAGTTGTGGGTTTGCGAAACGTCCCGCTTTAAGCACTGGGTTTCTTCTGGTTCCTTACAACTCATTGAAGCCCGTCGGTCTACTCCGGGTGACCGTGAGTTTGACCATAAACGAAGGATGTTACGTAAGGAAATTGGGCAAAGCTTGCGTAAGGACCGAGAAGCCTGGTGGTCGAAGCGTGCTAATGAGCTGGAAGCAGCAGCTGCATCTGGTAACTACCGGAAGCTCTTCCAGCTCATCCGAGCCACTGGCAGCAAGAAGTCTGGTGTGAGTGAAACAATCTGCGAGGATGATGGGATGCCAATCACTAACATCCATCGACGTCTTGGACGATGGGCAGAATTTTTCGAAGGGCAGTTCAACTGGCCTGCTGCTCCGGCAACATCGGTCAGACTGTCCTGCCCTCCATGGCCGGTGACGACTGATCCACCAAACGAGGAGGAAGTCCGCAAGGAACTCCAACTCTTGAAGCGTTACAAATCACCTGGCCCAGATGACTTACCTCCGGCTCTTTTTAAAGATGGTGGTGACTTTTTGACTAAGGAATTGACGACGTTGTTTACAAAGGTTTGGGAACTAGAGAGTGTACCAACGTCATGGAATGAGTCGATAGTTGTCCCTATCTTTAAAAAGGGTTCACGTCGTTCCTGTAACAACTATCGGGGGATAAGTCTACTTCCGATTGCGTCCAAGCTATTGGCTTCCGTCATACTTCGTAGGTTGTTCAAAACCCGAGAAAGATTGACTCGCGAGGAGCAGGCTGGGTTTCGTTCTGGTCGAGGATGTATTGATCATATCTTCACCCTCCGCCAAATGTTAGAACACCGCCATACTTATCAAAGGCCAACAATCGTAGTGTTTCTTGACATCAGGGCTGCCTTCGATTCGTTGGACAGGACTGTTCTCTGGGATTGTCTATTGAAGAAGGGTGTGCCTGAGAAGTTTATTAACATCCTAAAAGCCCTATATAAAAACACCTCAGGCAGAGTGAGGGCATACAACCACCTCTCTCCATTGTTCCATTCGAGCAGTGGGGTTAGGCAGGGTTGCCCAATCTCACCATTCCTCTTCAACTTTGCCATCGATGACATTCTGGAAACAGCTCTGATGAATGTAAGTAATGGTGGTGTGGATCTGTTGCCTGGAGAAAGACTTCTCGACCTTGAGTATGCGGACGATATTGTCTTACTGTGCGATAATGCCCAAGGCATGCAATCCGCACTTAATCAGTTGGCAATCAGTGTCCGTAGGTATGGTATGTGCTTTGCACCTTCGAAGTGCAAAGTACTTCTACAAGACTGGCAGGATTCTAATCCTGTACTCACCCTGGATGGTGAGCAGATAGACGTAGTCGAGAAGTTCGTGTATCTGGGTAGCTGCATAAGTGCTGGTGGGGGTGTGAGTGATGAGATCAATGCACGAATAGTGAAAGCCAGAGCGGCTTATGCCAATCTGGGCCACCTTTGGCGCCTTCGTGATGTTAGTCTGGCTGTAAAAGGTCGGATCTACAACGCGTCGGTGAGAGCAGTTTTGCTCTATGCTTGTGAAACCTGGCCTCTCCGAGTTGAGGACGTTAGACGACTCTCTGTGTTCGATCATCGCTGTCTCCGAAGGATTGCTGACATTCAGTGGCAACACCATGTCAGTAATGCAGAGGTTCGGCATCGTGTGTTCGGGCACAGAGATGATAATTCAATTGGTGTCACCATCTTGAAACACCGACTTCGGTGGCTTGGACATGTTCTCCGAATGTCGTCCCAGAGAATTCCACGTCGTGCATTATTTGCCGACTCTGGGACTGGTTGGAAGAAGCGGAGAGGTGGTCAGTGCATGACATGGTGTCGTGGTATGAAAGAAAGCTGCAAAGGACTGGCTTGTGTTGGTCCTTCACGACTCCCTGGTTGGGGTCTGAGAGATGGTGCTACACAGTGGCTAGAGACGTTATCAGATATGGCTCAGAATAGAAGCCAGTGGCGATCCTGCTGTAACCTTCTTTTACTTTCTTCATAAAAAGTGGTTGTGTCTCCTTACCTGAAAGATTTCTTCTGATTGTACCTTTCCGTTCCCTCGTTACTACCACACTACCTTACACCAATCTCTTCGTTATTGTTCTCTTTTTCTTTTGCGCTCCTTAGTTTTTTTTTATTTCTCTTCGAATTCTCATTGTTTTGTGTGGCGCATATATATTGGCGCTCTCTTGTACCAATATTCATGTGTTCAAATAAAAATAATAATAATAATCGGACCTTGGGTTAGCTGCTTTTAGTCTTACAGATCTTCAACCGACCTGTCTGACATAGTAGGACCTTGAGGAACGGTTGTTCCAGCCAGTATAGCTCGGTTGCTTCATCACGGTAGGCAAGCCCGACCACCACGTCAAGGTAGCAACAACGGTCGGGAACTAGCTAGTCACAGATATTTTGATATAGATTGTTTGAGTTTTTAGCCTAGGCGGTCTGTGGCACCATTTATATTTTTGGCTCCTTACCAATAAACGAGTACGATGTGTTATAAAACATAATTGTTAAGGTTGAACAATTAAAATCAGCAGTCATTTTTCTTAGAATGATCAAATAATCAGTATTGTGGTTAAATATAAACTGTATGTAGTTGGGTTGAATCAGTCAGTGAGACCATTAACTTGTTTTCATTAGGAGAATAAAGTTATCTGTCACATTATATTCTAACTGCATCGGAATTAAAATGAAAAATGATCTACAGTTGACCAAACATAAACATACCATCGATCCATAAAATTATTCAATGTTGATCTAAGTCGTAGTTGAAGATCCAAGCTTCCTAATTAGAGTTTTCTATATGATCTATAGTCAATCACAATGATTCACACATCCATTCTTTATATTTTACAAATCTTTAAAATATTATCACTCGCTATTGTTCGTTATTTATTAGTCTATTTCCGTATTGTTCATGTTTATCTCCCCAGAATTGTTGGTTTTCTCATTATGATTCAGTCATATAGATATATTTGTATAAATCATTTCAGAAATATAGTAGTATGCTAGCCTCGTTGTGTTGACAAGACTTGACAAATAACAATATAGAGGATATTTATACACTATACTTAATTAGTGCAAGCTAATAGTGTGGTACACAGTTACTCAAGTATAAATCGGTAGTTTATACTTTTAGTCATTGACCTAGTTGTTCATACATTATATTTAATGTTTACGTTTCGTAGTTGATAATATCCACAATGTTATGCATACGTCGCGAGTCGCCCTGAGAAATGGCACTTCGAAATGTTTATATTGTCTTTATGTCTATCAGTAAATTGGATTTTGTCGATTGCGAATGAAATAGTTACGTTTTCCAAATTCCAACTATTGCTGTCCATGTCTTTAGTCTCTGTGATGTCATTACCAGACTTATTCCTGTTATAACTATTATTCGCAAAAGGTTTATATTCTTGTATATTCAAACAAAATACATGTTACTTTTTTATTTAATTATGCACACAATGTATTCTGTATAAGGATGTAGTCAATTTAAATTAAGAATTGTATCTCGATCTTTTACACAAAATCCCTGTCATCTATTATTTATTTTAGACGCGATGGTCGACTAGTTATCCCTAGTTTAAATGGTCATAAAGGATGGGTTGTATCAGTAGATTTCGCTTCAGATAATCGACATCTTGTCACAGCATCCACTGATTGTTCTGTTCGAATCTGGGATCTGGCATCAAAAGAAGAAAAACATTGTTTTAATACACATGAAGATCAGGTAAGTCCATTTTATTTGGCTTTTCATTGTATTGCTACTAAATTAGATTAAGGCTTATAAATCAGCTGTACTTGTACGTTCAGACTAACGTAAAATAAACATGGATTCTATTTGATGTAATCCGTCAAGGCAAACCGAAATTCGTACAACCAAAGAAGCAATATATATATATATATATATATATATATATATATATGGTTATATCCAACAGAATCATAATAACTAATCAAATTGCCAAATGTATACACCACGTATATTCACATTAAATGATCATTAAGTGGTGACCAGCGTCATGTTTGTTTCGTTTTTAGTACTGATCAAATTGTAACGATCATCTTGTAATGTGGTCACGAGCCTAAATAACTTAACATCGCATTCAGTATGTTTTGATTGTAGATGATTGAAATTAGTTAGTAGGTAACCATGGTCCTAGGTTTCATACTAGTTGACACTCATCAACAAAGTGTACATGCAATAATCGCATTGAGTTATTGGAGACATTGAGTGATATGGCTCATAATCGGACACATGGCCACAGATAGATTAACTCTTTACCCTCCTCTCGATCCTGAGTTCCAGTGTTTTTGCATGCATAGCTTTTCACTGTTTTTTTTTTCAAACTATATTCTCAATCTTTAATTTTTCTCAAGATGATTACTGCTAGATTATTTCGGTTTGTTTGGTATTTTGTCGTACTAATTCGGTGTGGCAACTTAACACAATGCACATGTTTGCCAAGGTGTACGTTAACCAGAACCGATTGACGTTGAATACTTATTACTATTCTTCTTCATATTCTAATGTTTTTAAACCATTAAGATTTTTAATCTATTAATTTACAAGTCAAGAATACACTCATTGATTTTAAAGCCTATTCACCATTAAATAAAACATTTCAATTAAGTTAATTTACTATTATACTGCATTTACAAGTAAATATTTGTCTATTTCAACAATTTATCAATTCAGAAATATTCACTATTCTGTATGTACTTCATTCATTTCGATTGGTTAAATGAGTTTGTCCTTGGAAAAAATCAAATGTTTAACTTACACTTCATTAGTTTTATCTATCTACTACCTTCAAATAGCATCCAATCATATTCATCACGTTGGTAGTTTTTTTTCAAGTCTTATATTGTAAATATCAATATAATCTTCATATGTTAGAAGAACAAAGATATTAATCTAGGGATTTCAGTATATATTATGATACAAATCAGTAAACAATATAAAATTGGTTATCAAAAATCATGTTCTTTTTCTTTTTGATCTTATACAATTTGTAGAATTTTCTTTTTTGGTTATTGAATTGTATTATATTTTATTCTTATTTAATTTTGTTTTAGGTATGGTGCGCTCGTTATAGTCCTCAAGGAAATAATATTATATCTGTAGGAGATGATAGATCTATCATGATTTATCAATGTGCTTAATATTAAAAATATTTTTATACTTATTATTATTATTATTATCAGTCATTATAACATCGTTTAACAGTATTTATTAATAGTACTGATATGCAGTCATCAATCATTTTTTATTCCTTTTTTTTAACAAATCAATAAGATTCAAGTTACTTATTTCATATGAGATTTCGTCAGACACCAACCCATTAGGGCTGATCAGACTTCCAAGATAAGTGAAGTTGTCGACGCGTTCGACTACTTCACTCTCTATCCTTAGTTCAGGTGTTGACACAGATCAGTCCTGAAGCAAAAACTTGCATTTAGAGGAAGAGAAGCGCATCCCGAACATTCTGGCATTGTTGCTTAGTGCTACCAGAAGACTCTGCATTTTACCAACGTCTTCACCAAACAGGACTATATCATCTGCGTATTCTAAGTCGATAAGTGGACCTCCTGGAAGGAGGTCAATACCCGAGAATTCAGTAGACGATAATGTTATTCCCCTCAATAAGTCTATGATGAAGTTAAACAAAAATGGAGAAAGTGGACAGCCTTGACGGACACCACTTGAGGTTGCAAAAGCAGATGACAGTTTGCCATAAGCTCTGACTCGACTGGTAGTGTTCAAGTAAAGAGCCTTCACAAGGTTTATGTACTTCTGAGGTATGCCTTTCAATGATGGACACTGCCACAGAATCTCGCGGTCTACCGAGTCAAATGCTGCTTTCAAGTCAAGAAAGACCACCATTGTCGGACGCCGGTAAGTATGCCTATGTTCTAGAACCTGACGAATGGTGAATATGTGGTCGATGCAGCCACGACCAGGTTTGAAGCCAGTTTGATTCTCTCGTGTTTTCAGTTCACGAGTCTTAGTTAAGCGTCTGATAATTATCGAGGCTAGTATTTTAGATACTATATTAGTTAAACTAATCCCTCTATGGTTGTCACAGGATGTGATTTTAACCCTCTCTTATATATTGGGACGATAAGTGATTGTGACCAGTCAGATGGAATAACGTCTAACTCCCAGATCTTAGCTAAAATATTAGTCAACCCAATACAATCAAGAGTCACCCGTAATTTTTTATTTCCTAACATTTTAAAACGTGAATGTACATGTAAAAAGTTAATACTTCCATTGTTAAAACATGTATTATCAGTGAAAACAATTCGAATCAAAATGAAATATAATTTTCTGAAATCAACCTACAAATTCACTTGTAGAAATTGACTTTAAACCCTGTAACTATGAGGTTCAGATTAGTGTAGTATGAACAGAAGGCCTACGGCCTATGTTTGTAGTGACCTACTTTTATCAAGAGAACGCGATGGGTTTAATTGAAACAATCATTATTATAACCGATTGTACCAATGATTGTTTTACTGTGCTCGTTTGTTTAACTGTGCTAAAGACGGCCTTATTATCCTTCGATTGATTGTGACTTGCACGGATTTGGTTACGCTCAGTAACGACACTTTGCTCCTTTGGCACAATCTCGGTATCCTTTCGATACCACGAGATCGCCAACAAATATATCTCGACTACAGCCATCAACTGCTTTCTGATATTTGGCTTACGGGGGATTTTATCGGTTAACTGGCACGTAGTCTTCTTGTAGCTTCGTTCATAGTCAAACGCTACTCTGCACCACGCTACATGTTATTCCTTTTCCAGTATGCTTCTGTGAATGTCCACTCTTCTCTAGAAAGGGTCAATTGAAGGTGCGGACAACACCGCTTCGGGTAACAGGTTCCAAGTATTGATGACTCGGTGTGAAAACCTGTATGCCACGGGTATTTTGTTCGTTCTTGGCTTTTCTACTTTCCTGCTATGTCCTCTGAGATGTCCAGATCTAGTGAGAAGTAAAAGAGAATATGTTAGGTTCAAAACCATTTTTTAGTATTCTGTACATCAAAATTAGAGCTCCCCTTAGTCTACAATAGGACAGAGTAAAGAGGACCAGGTTTTCCAACCGCTCTTTGTATGGTAATCCCCGGAGTTCTGGAATTGCATGGGTAGCTGTTCTCTTTACTTTTCCAAGGATATCTGAGTCACTATTTGAACAAGGGCTTGCAGTCTGAACGCAGTTATTAAGCTTATTCCTCACCATGTTTATGTATACTGTGGTGAACATGGTAGTATCTAACCTAGTGAATGTCCGTTTTAAAGCTCAGAGGGTTCTAAACCCCTTAGGTGCGACCTCCTGGCGATGGGCCTACGTCTAAAGATCATGACTCGCTGTGACCCTAAGATCCTTACGAGACGGGACCCCTGGTACTGGCACTTTCCCTATGCTGTATCTATTAACCTTTGTATCCTCAAAATGCATATGGACACACTTTGCTGCGTTGATAGGCGTCAGCCACTTTTTAGACCAGTTAATCACATTATTTAAGTCTGCCTGAAGTGCATCTGCGTCTCTGGTTATTACTCGCCAGAGTTTTACATCGTCAGCGTATAATAACACTGGGGGACTGTACTGTACTTGGGAGATCATTTGTATGCAGTATAAAAAGTAAAGGACCTAGGATGGAACCTTGAGTCACTCCACTAACTACTTTTTTCCAGGTGGAGCACTTCTAATCTATTCTTACCTTCTGTTCACAAATTACTAGGAAATCCCTAAGCCATTTTAAAAAAATGTCCGGTAATACCAAGATTTTTTAACTTCAATAATAGTCTATTTCTCGGCACCTTGTCAAATGCCTTACTGAAGTCTATGTAAACAACATCCACTAAGTTTCCGTTGCCTAGCGGCTTTATCCAAAACTCTTGCTAAAAGAGGTTCGTTGTACAAGATAAACCCTTCCCATAACCATGTTCCATGTTTAGCAATTTATTGGTTTCCAAAAATGTCATTATGGTCCGTTTGAACATTTTTTCCAATATTTTAACTACAACACTGGTGAGGCTTACAGGTTTGTAGTTCGATGGAAGTTGTCTTGGTTCTGTTTTATGTATAGGAGTGACGATCGCGTCCTTCCAGTCTATAGATAACACACCTTTGTCAAGAGACATGTTGAATATCACAATTAGTGGGGCCGCTATATATTGTGCAATATGTCTCAAGATTTTGGGGTGTAGTCCATCTGGTCCTGTTGACTTTTCCATGTCTAAAATGTCAAAAGCCTTAAGTACATAGTCTTGACCGAAGTCCACAGTGAGCAGGTGGTTTGTTGATTCTGTATTTGGGTCTGGTTTCTTGTCTGGAGGGGCTTACTGAGTGAAAACTGCCCCAAAATAGTCAGCCATAGCCTCTGCACTTTCTTGATCTTCCTCTATCATTTCAGATCCACTCCCTTTAATTGGGTTGGGAATCCAATGATACATCCTTGTTCTGTAGTTTATGTACGAGAATATTCTCTTGGGCTGCTTTGAGCGCAGATTGTGCCAACTGCATTTCATATTTTCTTTAGACTTCCTGAATCTTAATTATACACATGTTTCCTACCGATCTGTAGCGTTTCATCCTACCTGCTGTTCTAAGGCTGATAGCAACATTTCTTCTTTTGTCTTAGTAAATGTCGAATATCCCGGCTTATCCAGGAATGGCCGTGCTTCTTTTTGAGACAGTCCAGGGTATGTACGGTTGAGTTGCCCGATTGCACAACTGCCGGAAACAAGTCCACGCCTCTTGTACTGAAGCCCTTGAGTCAATTTCCCAGTTTTCAGCCGATGCTGCGATTCGATTGCCTACATATCTGCTTTCCATATGTTAGGACGGGCCGGCGCAA